TGGGGACACCGAGTTCTCCTCAGTCTGGGGGACAGGCCCAGCCCAGCCTTTCCCTCTCCTCTCACTGAGGTCTGACAGAGCCTTGGCCACTCTGTCGCAGGCTCCCCTGTCCCTGTCCCCTCCCAGGCCCTGAGCTGCTGCTCTCAGTGCCTGGGGAGGCCAGCAGTGGCCCTGGGGCCACTTGCTCTTGGCAGCCAGCCCCAGGTGCTGTCTCGGGGCAGCTGCAGCCGGGGCAGTCGGAGCAGGGCTGGATCAGCAGCTCCAGCCCGGCCAGGCCGGGCCCATCCTCGCTGGACAGACGGACACACACCCAGAGCCAGGCTCTGTGCCCGGCCCCGATGGGCCTGGCATGGCTGAGCTTTCTCCCTGGGCTCCTGCCCTGCTGCGGGGCTGGCCAGGGCTGTGCCCTCGGGTGTCCCCATGGCCAGGGCTGTGCCCTCAGCCATCCCCATGGCCAGGGCTGTGCCCTCGGGTGTCCCCATGGCCAGGGCTGTGCTCATGGGGTGTCCCCATGGCCAGGGCTGTGCCCTCAGCCGTCCCCATGGCCAGGGCTGTGCCCTTGGGTGTCCCCATGGCCAGGGCTGTACTCATGGGGTGTCCCCATGGCCAGGGCTGTGCCCTCGGGTGTCCCCATGGCCAGGGCTGTGCTCATGGGGTGTCCCCATGGCCAGGGCTGTGCCCTCGGGTGTCCCCATGGCTGCCCCACAGCTCCCTGGCCCTGCTGGACTCTGTCCCTCACCCCACGCACGGTGACCCCACGGGATCTTTAGGAAGCTGCTGCTCCCCCAGGAGCCCCCTGCCCATCACCCCCTGTGCTGTAGGACGGGGCTGTGCAGCCTCTCCTGAGGGCTGCTCTCACAGTCTGGGGCGGCTGCACCTTGTGGGTTTTCCAAGCAGCACATCCGTGTGGTTTCTCTGTCTGTGTGCCTCAGAGCCAGTGGATTTTTAGGCTGAACCAGCCCATGGAGCCAGGGTTGGAGCTGAGGGTTCAGCAGTCATCGGTCAGGGGCTCTGCAGCTCCCAGGTGGTTGAGTTACAAATGCTGAGGAAAAAACTCCACTGGCCCAGCAGTGGAGGTGGGATTGTCCCTTTGCCATTAGGGTTTGTATGGTCCTTCCTTCCTGTGCATCCTCTGCTGCATTTGACTGTTTACATTTGTTTTATTGTACATAGATTTGTAAACATAATACCTTTGCCTGAGGTCTTTGTACATAACTTGGGCTTTGTAGCTTTATTTATTCAGCCTCTCTCTGGCATGTTTCTGTAGGATGTACCGTTCCACCCTGGTGCCACTGACATGATGTGGTTTCAAAAGAATGAAAACAAATGAGAGTAATCTTCCAAAAATAAAGTTCTTTTAATGTGGAATCAGTGGATTTTGCAGAACCAGTGGCCGTGGCTCTTACTTTGTCCCATTGGGTTTTCTGCCAGGGAGGGGCCAGTGTCCTGCCCATGTCCTGGGGGCCCTGGCCCCACACAGACACCCCCAGCCCAGCGGGGTCACCCTCCCCAGGCCATCCCCCCTCCTGCCCTCCCCTTTCCCTCCTCCCCTCCCACTCGTCTGGGCCCCCCCTGGTCCCAGACCCACCCTGGACTCAGCTCCTGCAGCTCCCAGGCCTTTCCTGCCCAGCTCCAGGGCAGGTTCTGCACCCCAGGACCCCAAAACAGGGGATGGAGCTGCCCAGCCCCTGTGCCACAGCACTGAGTGGCAGCAGCAGAGCTCAGAGTTTCTGTGTGCTCCAGCTGGGCCTTGCCAGTGGCATTCAGGGGCAAAGGCTCAGCTCAGACCAAGCCACTGATGCTGTATTTAGGTCAAAATAAAAGGAAAAAAATAAAAAAAAACAAGCAAACAAAACAGGAAGAAGGGAAAAGGCAGCTTCCAGTCATATCTCGTTTATTAAGGTCTATGCCAGCCTCGGGAGAGCTCTTCCAGTAAGTAAACAGAGCAGGCGGCCGCATCTATAATGAATAAATTTATTGTCTTACAAAAATCATTGTCTAGAAATATGGGTATACAAGAAAACAAGATATTTGCAGTCAGATGCCTGGTGGTCAACAGCCAGTTTGATTTAAAAATATCCAAACACACACAACAAAACCTTTGCGACAGATGTTAAAGCTTTTAACCAAAAAGGGAAATCCACGGGTTTTGAGCATGTGGCAGAGGAAGTTTCCTAGTTAACACTGATTCATTGTCACTAATATCAATAATACCACTTGGACTAGAGAGGTACATGATATGAAGCACAGTCAAAATTAATACATTAAATCATTGTTATATAGGCAAATTATATATGTAACGTTGTCTTAGTACTGTAGTGTCTAAGGCACTTTCTGTAATGTCAGTTTTCAGCTATTTAAACAAAAAGAACGCTAACTACTCACTGTAATACTGCTCAAAAAAAAAAAAAAAACAACAACAAAACAACAACAAAAGAAAAAAAAAGGATTCACATCCACTGGCATGTTAACTGTAGGCAGGCAACATCCATCCATCCAGGGCGGGAGCCCCGAGCCCCGGCCCACGGGAGCCCGGGGATCCCGGCGCCCCCACGGCCTGACATTAATAAATTAGCTCAGCCTGTGCTGAGTTCATTTCCCACTGGTGTTCACATTTTCCCAGGCCGGTGCCTGCAGGGCCCCGGGGCTCCGAGCAGCCCGCAGGGGACGGGACCCGCCTCGGTGTGCCTGGACTGCATGGACACGAACGGATGGAGCAGGTGCTGAGAACGCTTCAAATGGGATTGCAGGATAAAAACGGGCACTACTCACTCATCCCTACACTTCCCTCTAACACTTCCCAAGGCCGATTTTCACAGTTCACTCAGGGCTTGTGTGCGGATCACAACGATCGGGAGAAAAGAAAGAAACGGGAGCGGTTTGGTCTTCACTGATCCGAGAGGCTGCGGCCAGCCCGGAGCCTGAAGGATGCTGCTGGACACAAGGCATGCACAGCCACGCAAGGGGTCTGTCCTGGCCCCCCACCCGCTGGGAATGACGCTTCTGGATCGATAAAAAAATGGTTCATCCTTCACATGATGCTTTATAAAATGGCTTTACAATGAGTATCTGGAAAAGAGATGCACTGAACAGAGACGATCCCGGTTGTTTACTATATATAAAAAAGCAGTTGTACCTATATCTGAAGCAGGGTACAAGTGTGGTGAGGCTGGAGAGCCTTAAGACATGGTTGACCTATGATAAGGAACCTTGTAGCACATGCCGAGGGTCGTAAGGCAGCTTTCCGGCCACAAGGCAGTTCCGAGGGCAGGGCAGGGCGCTGGCCGCGCTCCCGCCGGGGCTGGAAAGGTCTGGAAAGGTCTGGAGAGGTCTGGAGAGGTCTCTGCATGCGGGCGGGGCCGGCGCTACTCGGCGGGGGCGGCCGGGGCCTCGTTCACGTCGCTGCCTTTGCTCTCGGCGTCGTCGTCCGACAGCTCCAGCGAGGCGCCCTCGATGTGCAGCTGCCGCCGGCCCGAGCGGCTCGAGGAGAAGGTGATGGGTCCCCCCCTCCTGCCAAGGGACAGAGCTGGGGAGGCGCCCGCACCGCCCGGGAGCGCGGCAGGGCACGGGCTGGCACGGGCTGGGATGGCACGGGCTGGGATGGCACGGGCTGCGGGATCCGACAGCTCAGCCCAGCCCACCCCTGCCATGGCAGGGACACCTCCCACTGTCCCAAGCTGTTCCAGCCTGGCCTTGGCACTGCCAGGGATCCAGGGGCAGCCACAGCTGCTCTGGGCACCTGTGCCAGGGCCTGCCCACCCTCCCAGGGAAGGACTCCTTCCCAATATCCCATCCATCCCTGCAGCTGTCAAGAATTTCCCTGTGGAGTATCTGGCTGCTTCCTCGTTCTCATCACCAGGCTCCGTTTTGAGCCATCCCCCGATGCCAGCAGCTCCCCAGCTGGACGTTGCCCGGGGATGGCGTCCGTGGGCTCGGGTCAATCCCAGTCCTGGTGTTGCACTGACCTTAGCCTGTTTTTGAGGGTGCTGACCTCCCTGCTCAGCCCCTCGTTGGCCTCCGTGGCGTCGTCCAGCTCGCGCTGCAGCTTGCGCCGCGAGGCGTTGGCGCGCGTGGCCTCCTCCTCCGCCTCCTCCAGCTGCCGCTTCAGCTGCTTCATCCTGGCGTTGGCCTTCTCCATCTGCAAGCCAGCCAGCCCTCGGGGTCACCCAGAGCTGCAGCCCTGACCAGGACCAGCACAGCCTCGTGCAGGCTCCAGCCGGGACCCGGAACGCCGGGAGAGCAGGGTGGGAACAGCCCGTCCCAGCAGAGCTCACACACACACCAAGAGAATCCCTGGTTTAATCACCTCTAGATTCCCTTTCCATTAGGGAGAATCCCTGCTGGTTTAATGACCTCTCTAGATTCCCTTCCCAGTACAACTCCTCTCCACAAGCCCTTCCCAGCCAAGGAGGTTCCACTGACCCCCACCCACCTGCTCCTTGTACTGGTCCGCGTGGCGCCGCTCGTCCTCCACCTGCATGAAAACCTCCTTCAGCTTCTTCTCCGTGCGGCGCACCAGCTTGTTGGCAGCTGCTCTTTCCCTGCAACAGCCCAAAGCCATCGGTGGTCCCGCTGCCCGAGGGCTGGGAACTCGAGATCTGCCCCCCTGAAGTGCAACAGGTGCAGCTCTCTGAACATGCCAGGCACAGCAATGCAGCTGATGCATGCACAGGGGCTGGCTGGCATGCAGGGATGCAGCTCTCAGAGCACAAAGCCTCAGCCCTGGGGCTGTGTGAACATGAGACAAAGAGGGCTCAGAAGGAGCCTTCACAAGGAGATTGGACAGAGCAGCTTTCAAGCTGCTGCTTAACCAGTAACACAATCCTGCTGCAGAGCCCAGAGCCCAGAAAAGACAGAAGTGGTGGTAGGACAAGTCCCACCTGCAAACAGTGGGAGGAACCAGGTAAAAAAGTGAATTTTAAAAACAGGATTGCAAGGACAGATGGATAATTCACTGCAAAGAGACTTCTGGAGAGCACAGGATTCATCTCAAGCTGTCCCACATAAGCTGTTCCTCTAACCAAGCAACCAGGGGACATTTCAGCTTGTCCCAGGAAACTCCTGCAGCACCTTGTGGCTCTGGGACACTGACACCTTGCAGAGCTCATGCAGCTGGTAGGAAGCAAATCCATTCTGGAACTCCCAGCCCCAGTTACTCTACAGCTGCCTTGTTCAAGTTTATCCCCTAAACAGGAGTCTCCAGACAGTAAACCCAAGGCCCTTCAGGAACATCCAGCATGGAACTTTCAGCCACTCAACCCACACAGGCAAGCAGGTCTTTTCCCCTTACTTGGCTTCCTGCTCGAGCTGTTCTTCAAGCTGTGCAATCTTGGCTTCTAGAGTAGAAATGGTTGCTTTGAATTTGGACTTGACAGAGCCCTCCAGTTCCTGCAGCTTGGCCTTGAGCTCCTTGTTCTGCCTCTCCAGCTGCTGCCGCGCGTTCTCGCTCTTCTGGGCCGCGCTGCGCTCGCCGGCCAGCTCCGAGTTGAGCGTGTCCACCTGGCAGGAGGGGACAGGGTCACCCAGTGCCACTGGGGCCTCTGCCACACTCACAGGGCAGAGCAGAGCTGCCCGGGGCTCACCTGCAGCGTGGTCTTGCGGAAGCGCTCGTTGAGCAGCTCCATGTTGCTCTGCTCCTCCTCCAGCTCCTCCTCCAGCTGAGCAATCCGAGCCTCCAGCCGGCGCTTCTCGTCCAGCAGCGCTGACCTGCACGGGGAAAGGGGTCAGGCCGTGCCCAGAGCCAGCACAGCTCCTGGGAGGTCACTCAGCTCAGGGCAGCTCCCAGGGAAGGGGTCAGGCCGTGCCCAGAGCC